TTGATTTATGTAGAGATGAGGTCTCACGGCCCAGGCGGATCTCGAACCCGCGGGCTCAGGCAATCCACTCACCTCAGGCTCCCAAAAGCGCGGGATTACAGGCTGAGCCACCGAGCCCGGCTGCTCTCTTCTTCTTAAAGTGAAACCAAGTGTCAGATGTTAGCAGAGTCATACTTCAGTCAGAGCAGACTGGACCTTAGTTTAGTCTTAAGGAAACCTGATTTCTGAAGTCCAGCTGTTTTTCTTTTTATTTGTTTGTTTTTGTTTTTTTGAGTTGGAGTCCCACTCCATTGCCCAGGCTAGAGTGCAGTGGCAAGCTCACCACCACCCCACAGTTGACCTGCTAGACTCTGGGAATCCTTCTGCCTCAGCCTTCCAAGTAGCTGGAAATACAGGTGCTTGCACCATGCCTGGCTAATTTTTTTAATTTATTGTAGAGACAAGTTCTTGTCAAGTTGCCCAGGCTGGTCTCGAACCCGTGGGCTCAGGCAATTCACTTGCCTCGGCCTACCAAAGTGCTGGGATTACAGGCTGAGCCAGAGTCCGGCCAACTGTTTTTCTTTTAAGGGGACCAAGTTTATCCTTTGGACCCTACAGACCAATGCCAGTACTGACCAGGTATGAGAGACAAATGACCAGTAGATATGCCGTGATGGGTAAAGTAATTCAATGTTGCTAGGAGGACACCAAGTGTCCAGGCAGGAGCTGAGGGACTTCCGAAGCTGGGTTGGAGCAGAAGAGGAAGAGGATGATTCGAGAGATGAGGAGGAAGTAACATGGGGGCTGACTGAACATGGCAGGTAGAGAAGAAGAGGGAATTCTGCAATGACATTCATGTTTCCGACTCTAGCGTGGGATGCTGCACAAAAATGAACCCTAAAAACACACACACTCTAAAGGAGCCCTCTTGCAAGTTGTCCATAGCCCTGAGATGGAAAGAGTCAGCTGATCTGAGAATAAGAAAATGCACACTGTGTGAAATAACTGGCTGCACACTAGAATCATCTGGGGAGTTTGAAAAACTCTAAGTCTAGGGCTCTGATCAGGCCAGTTGAATCAAGATAAATTACCTCCCTGTTCTGAAACCTGTAGGGCCCATTCTTGGAAATATTCACAGCTTGAAGCTTGGTTTGGCTCAGCCTGGACTTCTGGAGTTTGGGACGCGAAACGATCTGAACTTCAGAACTCACAGCTCTCCAGGGAAACAAAGACTGCAGGGAAAGCCACGCAGGGGAGCAAGAAGAAGGGAGCGTGGTGTCTGGCATACAAGCTTCCCTTCTGCCCATGGGAGGCGGTGGCTTTCACACCACTCTGTGCATCACGGTCACTCCAGGATATTTGTCAAAGGCAGCTTCCCGGACCCCTCTCCCTGAGTCGGTCAGGTGTAGGGTGTGGCCCAGGAACCTGCTGCATTCCTGGCAGCCATTCCTGGCTCCAGGTGGCTCAGACAAAGGGTTCATGGAACAAACACACACCCAGAAACCCTGAGACCTACGGGGGCTGCAGCCTAGGGGCTCTCCCCGGGGACATGTGTAGGGCAAGTCTTCCCTCTCCAAGAACCCTGCCCCGGAGAGTCTGAATAGTGGGTCCGAGGTGGCATCCAACAGTGTTAGATTTCAGGGCACTGCCCAATTGGAGGACTTTATGGAAAAGATGTGGACCTGCCCCAAGTTTTCTTTGTATAAAAGAAGGTGGAAGTGAGGCAGGAAGGACCTGTGGCTCATTCAGTCCTGGCTCTGACCGAAAGGGAAGCTGGGGGTTTTCCTAGGCTGACAGCTGGCAGGAAGCACAGGAGCGATGGTGGGAGCCAAACTGCACCTCTGGTCTTTCAGAGACCTTGATTTCATCAGAACAGTGAACCTCAAAGCATCATGTGTTAGGCATGCGAATTCTAAGGTCCCATCCAGACAAACTACTGAATCAGGTCTTCAGGGAGCAGGACCCCCAATCTGTGTCACAACAAGCTCCCAGTGACTCTGATGCTTGTTCAACGGTCATGGGCTTAGTAAATGTCCCTCCGCTCAGGCCCCTTGTCATGGGAGGAGGGGAGTACCTCTCCCTCTCTTACCACTGGCTACTGGAAAGGAGGCTCTGACAGATACTGGGGCTGCTGACCTGGAGGAAATGGAGTCAGGTTCCCGGCTTCTTTTCTCCAAGCCTGGAGAGGGGCAGGAGGGGCTTCCCTGGAAAGAAAGGACACCTGGGAGCCTAATCCCCCAAAGCAGAGGCAGCTGCAGCCCAGAAGCTCCAGGGCTGAGTTCCAGTGTCCTCCCTGAAGAAATGTGGGAAGAGGATTTGTCTCCACACACTCCTTTTCCTGGCACAAGGAATGCTTCCTCTTCTTGTGGGATGGAGACGTCAACACTACCTTTTGGGAGCAGGCTGTGACCAAAGGGCCACATTCTGTACCAAGCCAGAAACCCTTCTTGCACAGAGTCAGTGTGGGCATCCCACACTTCCAAGGTCAAGGGGAGGGGAGGGAAGGGAGTGGGGAGGGGCGAGGGGGTTGATTCGAGGCTGAGGCACAGGCAAGGACCTGCCTAGTGGGGCAGAACAAATTACTCGCCTCTTTCTTCTCCAGATCCAGTTTGGACCTTTTCCAAGCATTCTATTCAAAGAAGACTAACATGTCACTTAAAAAAACGAAGTCAGCTGAGGTGAGTGGATTGCCTGAACCCACAGGTTTGAGACCCGCGTGGGCAGCAAGACCTCATCTCTACAATAAATCAAAAAATCAGCTGGGTGTGTAGCGCATGCCTGTAATTCCGGCTACTTGGAAGGCTGAGGCGGAAGGTTCCCCAGAGCCCAGCAGGTCGAGGCTGCGGTGACCGGGAGTGGCCACTGCACTCTAGTCTGGGTGACAGAGTGAGACTCCAACTCAAAAAAAAAAAACAAAAAACAAAAATAAACAGACAAACAAAACGAAGTCACTGGAATCAGGAGCAATCCAGAACTGTGGTGGATTCACTGTAGAGTCTTTAAATGTGTTCTACAAGAATTTGCAACATTGAAAGAAAATGTCAGGGACTTACTTGGGTTAAATTAAAAGTACAGTTTTATTGTATTTTCTTGTCAAACAACTGAAGAATAATTTAAATTAACAGGAAATATCACACTTGGAGGAAAAAACATAGAAAAGAAAAACCCTTAAATTAAAGCCAAACGTTCTTTCCAAGGCACAGCACTGGCATTTTCAGACTGACAACAGATTAAGTCTGTTTCCATGAAACAAAATCGCCAGCCCAAAGTCTGCCCCGAAAGAGTTTTCTACTCCATCTCCATGGCTCGGGCTCAGGGAACGATGCTCGTGGCCTTCCGCAGGGCCAGGTAGCCAGTGACAACGTCCGATGGCAGCCTCCGAATGTAGGAAAACTCTTCAATGGTGCTGAACCGCAGTTTGCTCTGGGGGTCTGTGTAGTTGGCCTGGGTGAGAAATGGGCACAGAGATGGGCAGAAAGTTGTGGGTGGTGAGGTTTTAAGTTCAAGTTTTAGCTTCTTTTTCTATTACTGAAAGTGAGCTATATCTTTATGAAGTCCTGCTCTATCACCAAAACACTAAATTGCTCACAGTGGCACAGACTCATTAATCTTCCCAGATGTGAAAAACACTTCAGGATATGGACAAGTGGAAGAGGAATAATCACACCGATTCTAGGACCCTTCTTATGGGCACCTTCAGGGCTGCAAGCAACAGGTCCAAGACTGTAATCACGGTGGTCATCCTTCCCTGCCTTCAAATACCTGCCTCCTTCCAACAGGCGCTCCTGGACTGCCAAGGCAGGAGCTGACATTGCGCATGATGGGCACGTGGACCTCCCTGCCACGCCCCACCTACCTCCAGCACGCTTCTCCCCAGTTCTTCCTTTTTTTTTTTAAGTCAAAGTCTCACTCTGTTGCCCAGGCTGGAGTGCAGCAGCTACCGCAGCCTCGACCTGCTGAGTTCAGGTGATCCTTCCGCCTCAGTCTTCCAAGAAGCTAGAACTACAGGCACAATCACCACACCCAGCTAATTTTTTGATTTATTGTAGAGATGAGATCTTGCCAAGTTGCCCAGGCTGGTCTTGAACCCCCGGACTCAGGCAATCTTCTCACCTCCGCCTCCCAAAGTGCTGGGATTACAGGCTTGAACCATCACACCTGGCTTCCCAGCTCTTCCACCACAACCCCTGCAGGCTTGGGCCACCCTGCAGTGCAGAGCTGGCCACCCAACCACACCCAGTCTTCCACTGGAAGGGATTGCCCTCCTGCAACTACAGTCAGGGCCATCTTTACAACCTGCAATTCAGTCATGTTATTCCTCAGCACAAAACCTCTCAAAATGCAGCTGGGCGTGGTATGATTCCAGCACTTTGGAAGGCCAAGGAGAGAGGATTTGCTTGAGCCCAGGAGTTTGAGACCAGCTTGGACAACATAGTGAGAACCCATCTCTCTCTTAAGAAAAAAAAAGAAAGAAAGAAAAACTCTCAATGATTCCTCTGCTCTTGAGACAAAGGCAAAGACCCAAGTCCTCAGTGTGGCTCCTCAGCTCTGGGTCCTCCTTCCTTCTGTGCAGACTCATTCTCTGGCTCCAATTGCCCTGGCCTTGAAGTCCCTTGCCCACGTCATGTCTCCTCTGCTCTCTCCTTGGCAGGGCCCCAACCCTGGCCCACTTTGCTTAGTCACCAACTGCACCTTCTTCCGGACTCACCCCCAAAGCCACAACCCCATGGAAGCCTATCTGCACACCCACAGGATATCAGAACCCCAGTCTCCACTTTCACAGCAGCACGTCTCCCCTCTGGAATGCTCATCTCTGTTGCTTTGGCATTTACTATCTACAGGGTTCTTTGAGGTCTAGGCCATGAGGCTCCGTGAGGCAGGAGCCCCATGGTTTGCTTATCATTATAGACCAGTTCCTGGTGCGACGTCATATGTACAGTGGGCCTGCAGTCAGGGTCTAGACAAATAATGAATGAAGGAATGAACGAACAAAGAAACAAGCAGACAACGGGGCCCATCACAGAAAAAAATTTGTTTCCCAGACACATCACAATTCTCTTTTGGTGTCAATTCCCTATGTGCAAAGTGGAGAAATAATTCACTTATTACGAATCTCAAAGCACATGGCTTCTGCAGATTGGGATCCAGAAAACATGAGACTGAGTCATTTTGAGCTCCTTTAAAAAATTATAGAGGATGTCATTAAAGTCTAGACAGATAACATCCAATTATTCAAATGTGGACTGTCTGCTCCAGTGTTGGTCACCTTTGTGTGAAGCTGGACTCACTGCAAATCTGTGACTCAGTAAAGGAGGGTAGACTCCGTAAAGCAGCAGCAGCTGACGGGAACTTAGTCACAATTTCTCAGGTTCTAAAATGTCTTCCCATTTTGCCACTGGGGATCGCCCTGAAGCACTTAACTGCTGCATGTCAGAAAAAATAGGATTATTCCTAAAAAGTTAAGATTAATCAAAGCTCTATATAAAATAGAATTTTGATTCTTTGGCTTGATCTAGATGTTACCTTCTTGTACCACAGTTCCTTTATTGACATTAATAAAAGGAAAGGCTTAAACAGGAAAACAATAGCTGGGTTCAGTGGCTCACACCTGTAATCCCAGCACTACGGGAGGCTGAGGTGAGAGCTGCTTGAGCCCAGGCATTTGAGACTAGCCTAGGCAACATAGCAAGACCTCATCTCTACAAAAAAAAAAAATTAGCCAGTGTGGTGGCACACACCTGTAAGTCCCAGCTACTTGGGAGGCTGAGGTGAAAGGAATGCCTGAGCTCTGGAGGTTGAGGCTGTAGTGAGTCATCAGTGGTCATGCTACTGCACTCTGGCCTGGGCGACAGAGTGAGACCCCAACTCAAAAACAAAACAAAAATAGAAAAACAGTGACAAGTCTCTTTTGAGGGCTCCTAGCCAGGAGGAAGTTAGATTAACCAACTGGAAGGGAGGTGCGTCTGACCTGGATCATCCATAAACAGACGAGCCTCCGTATCTGTGGCTGCCTCACTCCCACCAACAAACTGTGCTGAGCCAGCCGCTCAAGTCCAGACCTCACTGCCAAGAAGGAGGCTGCATAGACAATGGGGAAGACAGAGATCCTGTGGTACCAAAAAAAGATTACCGGCACAAACTTGACCAGACCTGACCTGGCCCAGGGACCAGGACCCATTTTTAACAGAAGGGAGGATGCTAGGTGACACCCCAGAGCGGAACAAGAACTTCACAACTCCAATCCACCCCCTCTGGAAGCCAACCCTTGAGCCTGAATGAAAAGGCAAAGGCTGCCTTCCCATAGGGCAGTCGGCAAACAGCTTGAGGCTTTCCTTGCTGCAGGGTGACAGCATTCATGGCTCCCCCATCTCACCCAGAGCCACAGCACCTTCTGTAGCTTTGTAATGGAGGCTGCACACAGGTGTGACCCTGCATGCCCTCCTGCCATGCCCACACATGGGGGAAACAGTCACATGGTTGGCAGGGAACACATGTCAGTGTCAACAGAGTTGGGCTTCACTTTATAATTATGTGACTTTAAATTATACAAGCAACAGACGAACACGCTCTCCTCTAAAAAAAACAATTCGAAGAATAAAGTCCCCCTTGAACACCAGCTACCATCCAAAAGTCCTTTGCCTTCCCCCAAGGGAACCACTGCTGGCGGGCACCCTTCCAGACTTTTTACATGTATACCCTTACACACATATGTAAACACACCAGGAAAATTACCCAATATTCTCGTGTGTGTGCTGATTTTTATGTACACGGCACCATGCTGTTTATGCTGTTTTGCATCTTTCATTCCACAATATATCTTGGAAGTTTATCCATGTTACAAATGCAGTGAGCTCACAGAACTGTATGAAATAGACTCACTGATAGACCTTTATGCGGTTTCCAGAATTTTGCTAATACAAACAGTCTCTCCTGGGCATATCTGCATGAAGTTTGTTATGCATACTATTTCTCCAGGGAGCTGCCTACCAGGCCAATTGCTTTTGCTTTTTGTGCCTCAATACAGAAAGTGCCAAAGTGCCCTTGAAAGAAGCCATGCTAATGCACATTCCCACCTCAAAGCAGCAATGTATGGAGATGTCTATTTCACTATGTTGACACCAAAATGTATAATCAAATGTCTTAATTTCTTCCCTGTCTTGATGAATCTTCCTCCTAATTACCAGTAAGGCTGAATATTCACTTATTGGTCACCAAATTTCCTTTCTTGTCACTGCCTACTCATATCTTCTTGCTGATTCAACTATGGAATTGTCTCTGTATCTTCAGAATTTCTTGATTTTTACACACAGTGAAGCAAGAGGTTTTAGGTCATAACAAGTCCTTTGTTGATGGCATAAAGCAGCCTGGAATAATGTTCCTTAGAACGATTCTCATGCCTCCTAAAGTGTGAAAACCACTGTAGTAGATTAGCTGCCTGAAACGGTGAGGATAAAACTGACATTGTAGGGGGTCACCCACCAAGTCTGGCCACAAACCATGGCTTCCACAAGCTCAAAATGGCACAGGGTAGATTTCCACTTTGGGTCATAACAGAATAACTGGTGCAAGACTAGTTCTCTTGACATAAACGACTATGACGATGGGTCCCATGTATGAGGTAGCTATTTTCAGGCAATAGACAAGAAGTAGCACACAACTAAAATGTCTGAGAAAAGAGAAGCTCGTATGGTAAACTCTGTGATCATCTCGACTCTCTGCCTGTGGCAATTTCCTAACAGTGGGACAGAGAGCTGGAGCTCAAGCAGGGCAGTAGACCCCCTCATCTGGGGAGGCAGGGACTAAAGCAGCGGGAATTGGCAAATCTGAGCATCAGAAGAGTGAGCTGCACTGGAAGGGGAGTAAAAGCCTGTTTGGAATTCCCTATGAGCTCTTAACCAGGGGCAGGGCTCTGTATGTTTAAGGTAAGACCATACAAATCTTACTGGAGAGCAGATAACAGAGGAACAGAGACTTGGGAGGCTAAGCAGTGCTTGAAGCTGCTGAAGTTTCAGCCTAGACAGAGTAGAGATTTTGATAACACCCCAGACATTCAGCTAAGCCACCAGAAAGGCAACAGCTTAGGAGTAAAAACCATGCCCTTGAGTAAGGCCTGTTTTGGCTACATCAAAACAAAGCCAACACCAAACTTCAATAAGATTGGCAGAGGATAAAGAGCTTAGAAGCTAAGTGCAATTAAGTTGAAGGAGGTTGGGGAATATCCTGAGTTTTCCACAGACCCATCCTAACAAAGTATAAAACAAAGCCTATACCCACTGCCGGGAGCAATCAGTAACTGGGCAAACTACAGGGGGAAGAAATGTCAATACTCTTCAGAAAAAGATAACAGAATCTAGAGTTTTTACAATGTATCATTCACAATGTCCAGTACACAATTTTTTAAAACTTGTATATATGCAAAAAAACAGAAAAATGTGACCCAAAGTTAACAAAAAAGCAGGCAATAGAAACTGATTCATATAAAGTCAATGTTAAGCCGGGCTCGGTGGCTCAGCCTGTAATCCCGCACCTTTGGGAGGCTGAGGTGAGTGGATTGCCTGAGCCCGCAGGTTCGAGACCCGCCTGGGCAGCGAGACTTCATTGCTACAATAAATCAAAAAATTAGCTGGCGTGGTAGTGCATGCCTGTAATTCCGGCTACTCAGAAGGCTGAGGCGGAAGGATTGCCGGAGCCCAGCAGACGAAGCTGCGGTGGCCAGGAGCGGCCACTGCACTCCAGTCTGGGCGACTGAGTGAGACTCCAACTCAAAAAAAAAAAAAAAAAAAAAAAAAAAAGGATTTAAATTTAAAAGAAATACAATTAATATGATACAGGAGTTAAAGGACAGACAACATGCATGTCTAGAAAGTTATTTCATCAGAGACATGAGAACTATAATGATCAAATAGAAAAGCTAGAAATTAAAAATACAGTAACAGACATGAAGAATGCTTTCAATGGGTTCAGTGATATACTCAATGCAGTGAAGAAAGAATTTAAAGCCACGTCAATAGAACCACAAAGAAATGAAAGAGTAAGAAAAATAAAAAAGAATTTTGAGACACTATCAAATCGTTTAATATCCACATAATTGGAATGCCAAAAAAGAGACAGGCAAGGCAAAAGAAACATTTGAAGAAGTAATGGCCAAAATTTTCCAAAATTCTTAACAGATACCAAACCACAAATCCAAAAAGCTAAGAGAACATTAAGCAAAATAAACACCAGAAAAATAATACTCAGAGTTATATTCAAACTGCTGAAAACAAAAGGCCAAAGGAAAATCTTGTAGGCAGTCAAATAAAGAAGCATTTCATAGAGAGGAAAAAAGGTAAGAAGTGTGCCAAATTTCTCATCAGAAACCACAGGAGCAAAAAGACATTTAAATACTGACGTCTCAAAAGCAATAAAAGAAAAAACCATCAACCCCGACTTCTATACACATTGAAATATATTTAAAATTAAAAGAGAAATAAAGGTTTTTCAGCTTAAAAAGAAGTGAGACTCTGACTCAAAAACATTTTTTTAAAAAAAATATCACTATTGGTTCATTAATTGTAATGAATATACTACAGATTTAATAATAGCAGAAAAGCTGTGTGCGGTGGCTCACGCCTATAATCCTAGCACTTTTGGAGGATGAGATGAGAGGATTACCTGAGCCTGTGGGTTGGAGACCAGCCTGGGCAATATGGTGACACCTAGTCTCTACAATAAAACTAAAAAATCAGTTGGACATGATGGCACAAGTTTACAATTCTAACTACTTGGAAGTCTGAGGGAGAAGGATCACCTGAGCCCAGGTGGTCGATGCTGTGGTAGCTGTGAGCAGTGTGCCACTGCACTCCAGCCTGAGCAACAGAGTGAGACTCTGACTCAGAAGAATAAAATAAAATAGCAGAAACTGAATTTGGATTTTTTCTGTAAATCCAAAACTGCTATAAAAAAAATACAGTCTATTTTTAAATGCTCAATTAAATCTAGAGAAGCTGGAAAAAACACGAATAAACACAATGAGACAGATAAAAACAACTATCAAGATTGCAGACTTCAATCCAACTACATCAACAATCACTTTAAATGTGAATAATCTAAGGCTAAGTCAGATTATCAGACTGGATAAAAAGCAAGACCCAACAATATGTTTCTGACAAGAAATCCACTTTAAATATATAGTTTAAAAGTAAAAAGATCAGCCGGGCTCAGTGGCTCAGCCTGTAATCCCAGCACTTTGGGAGGCCGAGGCGAGTGGATTGCCTGAGCCCGCAGGTTTGTGACCCACCTGGGCAACTTGGCAAGACCTTGTCTCTACAGTAAATCAAAAATTAGGTGGGCATGGTAGCGCGCGCCTGTAGTTCTGGCTACTTGGAAGCCTCAGGCAAAAGAATCGCTGGAGCCCAGCAAGTCGAGGCTGCGGTGGCCGCAAGCGTGCCACTAAACTCCAGTCTGGGCGATAGAATAAGACTCCAACTCAAAAAAAAAAAAAAAAGTAAAAAGATCAAGAAAGATAAAACATCCACAGTTACTTTTCCATTCCTGTGAAATCTTTTCAACTGAACATGAAGAAAGCTGGGGTAGTTATATTCATTTCAGACAAAACAACAAATAATATCAGGGAAAAAGAGGAATCTTCCATAAGGACAAAAGAGGCAATTTTCTTTTTAATAATGTACTGTATGTTATTACTTTGGTTAGTTTGTTACACAAGTTGAAGTCATACATTTTCATTAAAATATGAAGCATTTAAATGATGTGTAATAAGAGATTAAAAAGTGGTATACTTCATTATTTCTATAGTTGCGAGATAAAAAGTCCATCTTCTAAACTTACTAGAGATGATAAAAGGGTAAAGAAGATGAGCTGAGGCTGGGCGCAGTGGCTCATGCCTATAATCCCAGCACTTTGGGAGGATAAGGCAGGAGGATTTCTTGAACCCAGGAGTTTGACATCAGCCCGAGCAACATACCAAGACTTCATCTCTACAGAAAAATCAAAAAACTTGCCAGGTTTGGTGGTGTGTGCCTATAATCCCAGCTACTCGGGAGACGGAGGATCACTTGAGCCCAGGAGTTCGAGGCTGTGGTGAGCCGTGATCATGCCACTACACTCCAGCCCGGAGTAAGACTCCCTGAGGCAGGGTAGCTAGCACAAGTTAGACACAGATAGATAAATGTCCCATAGTTAGGTTTTAGGAAGTGTTTAGAGATTTTTTAAATTACATTTTACTGCAGGCCAAGCTATCAGCCTATCCCACCCCCTCAGCAAATCAAAAGAAAATCCCATCAGATGTAAGAATAGAACAGCCCCAGCTTTCAGCTCATAATCACTAAAATCCCTCAGGTTCTCCATTGAAGGTACAAGGCTCAACCCATCCTCTCACCAGCTTGTTTTGCAAACAAATTAACCTAATCAGCCCTTCATGACCTTCATGACACAAACCCCATCACCATAGCAGCAATCATGTGGCTAACCCACTCATCTGCCTGATGTCAATACCTGCACTTACCTGTCCCTTTGTGATGAGGTGGAAAAGACCACCATCCAATCACCTTAACAACCTGCCCCCAACAAAGGGAAGGTTTAAAGGCATGTGACTTAAAACAGCAGACCCCATTGCTTTGTTAAACTCTGCTTTTTCCACATGGCTCTTTGAGCTGTGGCTGCCATGTTTCCTTAGCCTTGATCCCCTCCCGTATCTTGGGGAGGTGAATCTTCTCATTCTCTCTCATTTACTTTCTAAATAAACTTTGCTTGAAAACTTCACTGGCTGCTCAAATTCACTTTAGAAACAAGCCAAAGAATCCACCATTTTTGTGTCGCACCCCACCCGGCATCATCCCTGACTCAAAAAAAAAAAAAAAGAAGATGAACCATTATAATACTATAAGAAAGCATTTGGCAGTAGTGGGAAACTGTCAGGGAAGGGGAGGTGGGATTGGCAGTTGAGGGAAACTGCTAGGGGAGGGAGGGACATACCTCATCAACAAGGGTACCTGCATAATCAACGTTTGTATACCTAACGTTTGTGTACCCCACATCTTTATAATAAAATAAAAAAAGAGTTTTATCAACAACAACAACAATAAAAGAATAGCTGAAAGTGACTTAGGTTCTACACTTTTTCTACAGTCTACAAATAAGGAAACAGGTGCTCTGAGGTTCCTGCGCTCCAGTGAATTCCACCAGCAGCATTTGAGGAATCGCTAGAAGTGGGGAGGACGACAGAGGCCCAGATCCACATGGGACCACAGCAGGTGGGTGGGCACTAGGCCCTTTAGATATCAAATTCCGTGAAAGGTTTCATCTGGAAAGGGGGTTCTGATGAAAGTCACTACCTTTACCATAGTCCCTCTTTAGAGAAGTTTAAGTATGTTTTTTAAAAGTATAATCATTTTTTTTAAATGTAGGTTTTTACAACATTAGCAATTTGAAAAGATGTAATTGTTTATATCATGTTATCTCATATAGTTAACTAGCAGATGAGAAGGAATTGAATCCCGGGTCTCCTGTTTGCTACAATCCTCCCTCCAGGTTGCCCGGACACTACCGGTATGAACATACCTCACAAACTTATTGCCTAATTCACAGCCGGGGGCTACAGGCAGGACCAGCAGTGGTCGATGTTCAACACTGTTTAACAAGACATTACCGCAAGAGCATCTCAATTTAACGTTATAAGGAATAGAGATGTAATTATACTCACGAGAAGACCTGAAACATCAGAATACTTCTTAGCTGGTTTAAAGGAAGGAGGTGCATCAATACTGAAGTCTGAAAAAAAAAAGAAAAAGATAACTAAGCTGGCCTTAAAGCATTCAAATCCTATCTCTTTTTTTCTAATATAAGTGTTTAAGTGTTTGGTAACATTCCCGAAATTTTCCCTGTGATTCAGTACTCAGAATTCTCTGGGGATTAACCAGAGAAGGAGGAGAGGAGTCTCAGAAGCTATGCAATATGTTGCCAGGCTCAATAGCTCATGCCTGAAATCTCAGTGATTTGGGAGGCTGAGGTGGGAGGATCACTTGAGCCCAGGATTGAGACCAGCCTAGGCAACATAATGAGACCTCATTTCTATAAATAATAAGAAAATTAGCAGGACATAGTAGCATGTGTCTAGTAGTCCCAGCTACTTGGTAGGCTGAGGCAGAAGGATCACCTGAGCCCAAGCGGTCAAGGCTGTGGCGAGCCCTGATCATCCAGCCTAGGTGGCAAAATGAGACACTCACTCAAAAAATAAAAAGGAAAAGAAAATAATCCATATTTTCATACAATAATACATGGGCCAAGTGCAGCCTCTGGATCTAGCCCCACCTTGCCACCTGTCCCCAGGGATCCTCTGTTCCAACAGAACACTAGAAAGCTCCTCTGCCCACAAGCTTCTTTCAAGGTCCCACACTACATGGGCTGACAGTGATGAAATGCCAGGCAACCCGCTAATCAGATCTGAGCCTCCACCCAGACAGCCTATGTCCACACCCAGATGACTGACTAGCCCACTAATCATTCATCTGAGTCACCCTTAGGAAAGAAGTACAGTGGCACAGGAGCTGGAGGAAAACTCGAACTTTTTTTTTTTTGAGTAGTAGTCTCATCCTGTTCCCTGGTTGGAGTGCAGTGGCACACTCACAGTCACTGAAGCCTCGACCTGCTGGGCTCAGGCGATCCTTCTGCCTCAGCCTTCCAAGCAGCTGGAACTACAGGCATATGCTACCATGCCTGGCTCATTTTTTTTTTTTAATTGTAAAGATAAAGTCTCACCATGTTGCCCAAGCAGGTCTCGAACCCCTGGACTCAGGAATCCTCTCGCCTCCACCTCCCAAAGTGCTGGAATTACAGGTGTGAGCCACCATGCCCGGCAATTTGAACTTCGGATGAAGTTGAACAGAGTATATAACTGTGTTTTATATGAACTTGGACGTACTGTGGCATAAAGTATTTACTCTGCAGAACACTGGTTTGGAGACTGAAAGAACTGAACTTTAAGCTGGTTGTTAAGAACCTTCCTAAATCTGGCATTATACTTGGGCTACCTTGTTTTTGGAAACAAATTTTAAAAGTAGACTTTTGAGTAAGAAGTCTGTCTAGCAGAAACACCAATATTATCATCTCGGGACCTACGACACTAAAAACCACACATCCATGACAACACAAACAAACAGGCTCAATACAGATACAGTTGTGTGGAAATATACACATACTATCCCTAGATTGATGCCACTATAAAATTCTCATGCTAAAAATTATTTCCTACAATTATGCAAACAATAAAATAATGTGGGCTTGTTATAAGAAAGTTCCTAGTCTAAACATCGTAAACACTTGGAAGCCTCTAGTCAGCTCACAGTTAGGATCATTCAGTTGCCACGGCAATGCCCTTTCGGAAGCGAGAATTTGTTTCAGGTTCTTCCAGGTCCTGTTCTTCTTGCCAGCAACTGCGCCACCGTGGCCAGAGTGCTTGAAGTAAAAGCATAAATTAGAGGAAACAAATCAATGGAGACTATCATTTGAGAATCTAACATTTATGCTTAATCATAACTACAATGTATTTCTCATTCTGTCAGCAATCATTTGTAACCCTGAGCTGTTTTAAGTATGTTATCACACATGTTACTCTTTGTTTGTTTACTTATTTTGAGATGGAGTCTCACTCTGTTGCCCAGCTTGGAGTACAGTGGCACGCTCATGACCACCGCAGCCACGACCTGCTGGGCTCAGGAGGTCCTTCCGTCTCGGCCTTCCAAATAGCTGGAACTGTGGTTCCATGCCACCATGCCCAGCTAATTTTTTGATTTATTGTAGAGACAAGGTCTTGCCAAGTTGTCCAGCCTGCTCTTGAACCCCTGGGCTCAGGCAATCCTCTTGCCTCAGCCTCCCAACGTGCTGAGATTACAGGAGTGAGCCACCACACCCGGTTTAATCTTAGTTTAAAACAAAGTTTCTCAATTGTTAAAACCCCTGAGTTAGTTGTGGTAGAGTAGAAAGAAAAGGCTACTTTTTCACATGCACATACAGCAATCAAATCCTTTATTGGGTCTAACTTTGTGGAATTCACTCATGAATTTCTTATCATGTTAAAATAAATTTACTACAAAATCAGATTTAAACTCATGACTATATCTCTAAATTCCTTTCTCGGGCAAGTGTCTTCCTTGCAAACTGGTGATCCTGGATGAGCCGGTTAAGCCCCACTCATGGCATGGCAAGACTTCTGGAAATCTTTTGTTGTTATTGTTCTATGAAGATGACAAAATAAAATGAAAAAGAATACCCAAATCTGTCACAGACATTGGTAATATGTATTTCCAAAATAATTCATTCAAAAATTAACTTTTAGCCAGGTTCAGTGGCTCAGCCTGTAATCCGGCGCCTTGGGAGGCTGAGGTGAGTGAACCGCCTGAGCCTGCGGGTTTGAGACCCGCCTGGGCAACTTGGTGAGACCTCATCTCTACAATAAATCAAAAAATTAG